AGCTGGGGTACCTAATGTCAAACTACAAACACAGGAAACAATTGGATAAAATCTGTGTAACTATAATTCCTGCTTCTGTCAGTGGCTTTTGCATTTATTTTTGGTCACTATCACATCAAGATAGGCTTTTTCAGACAGAAAAGTGAAAAAGAGAGGACCACCCTCTTGATCAGAGGTTGATTGATCAGCCAATCAGCTCTCAGCCCAAAGCGTCAAATAGCGACTCTTGGGGGTTCTTTTTATACAAAATACAAGTTGTGCTCAAATTTGTTCACATAATTGTACTTGCATAACTCTTTCCTTAGGGACACACACAATGTACTGAAAAGAAAGAAAAAGAAAGTTTGGTACCCCAGTTTTTAAATTATTTATCTCATATGTGGATAAATTAACTTTTCAGATAATTTGAACAAAATATACCGATGGTGTCAGTGGGTGTCTTGACAAAACATTTCATCTTTAAAAAAAAAAAAACTTCCACTCTTTGACATTCCATTAATTTTGCTGTTGGGTGTTTTTGTTTATCACTATATATTGGAATACGTCAAAAAAATGAATATATGGATAAATGGTATGATACTGGATCTCTAAATGGTGTCTGAGGTTGATTCTTGTGTCCAATTACCCAATGATGACAGTTTGATTCCTCATCTGCGTCCGGTCCGTGTTGAACCCAGAGACATAATATAATTGTAGTCTTGGAGCTGGAGGTAATGAGCGAACGCCACCATCAGTGCAGCGCATGGAAGAGGCGCCACAATAAAGACCAACCGGGACCAGAGCCGCACATATCCCAGGGCCACACACTGAACATGCTAATTGCCTTCCCGAATCAGACGGTGGTAAATAATGAAATTCTAATTCCACTCTTGCAATTGCCTATTTTCATTCATGTTCAAGGGGCGCTCAAATATCAGCGTCAGTGTATGGGGACTACACTGTGATGAAAAAGAAATACAATCATTCTCATCAGTGTGATCAGTTCTTGTGTTTTTTTGTTATCCGTTCTTATGTGTTTTTTTACTAAAAAAACACATTTTATGCTCATAAAAACATTTTGTTTTTCCTAATGGAATCAGATCACATGACCCTGGGTTTGTGTCATTAGAACACATGTTATCTCTTAGAAAGAGCCCTGTGAGTCACAATTTGATGTTAATCTTACATTTTTTGTTGTTTTAAAGATAGGTATTAGCAGAAAAAAGGAAAAAGAGGGAAATTAAACATACCCAACATCTGCTATGAACTCTGTATACATCTTAAGAGCAAAATGCCCTTGTAAAATTAAGAAATAATTTGTACTGATTAACTGGACACAGCCTCTAATGTATATCAGCAGGATATTAAACCATATACATTTATACTATATACATACCATATATATTATGGTGGACAAATAAATATGTTTTCTCTAAAATGCATTCAGACACACTTTGTGAAATCCACAGCTGGGACATGTTTCAGAGCAGTTTAAAACCATGTTGGACTTCAAAGTGCGATTGTGACTGCTTTATGAGCTAACAAGACGACTGAGCATGAACTCAGCTACAACAGCGTCTATGTTTTCCCAATAAAATAGACAAAATGGTGTGATGGTGTAATTTATTAGATATCAAAAGCCAGCTTGTTCCTAAGAGAATAAAGCCACTGGTCTTAGAGCTCCTTTGATAACCTGACAGTATCCTACATTTACAAAGATTCAAGACAGAGAGAGGACACCGCAGAGTAAATCACTTTTAAAATGCATTTGGGCTCATAATTATACTTTGAAATGAGCAGCAGAAGAGGTGACCCAATAATGACAATGAGAGGAGGCTGTAACCCTTACACTAGCCCATGGCATCATCTACTACACAGTTTTCACAAACAACCAATGAGTCAAATAGTGACTCTCTCTTACAAATATGCAAAAGATGAAAGGTTTCCTGATAAGATGAAGACAGCATGGTGTAGTCTGAATTGTGTGCCCTTACAAGGCTGTTTCCATTGGGGCAAACAATATGTACCTCTTATGTCAATGTCCATCAATGTCAGCTTTAATTGTATAGCACATTTACAACACCAGCTGCGCAAAGTGACTGCGCTGTTTGCAGTGATTTTTTTGATTAAAAAAATCAAAGCAAACGGCATAAAATACATAAAAATACATGGTAAAAGTAAAACTCAATCGGTGTTAAAAGCCAAGGCGTACAAATATGTCTTTGGACTAGATTTATGAACTTCCAATGAAGGAGTTGATCTAAAGTACAGGGGTAAACTATTCCACAGTTTGGGAGCAGTTCTTCTCGAGATGATAGAAGAGACCTGGGCACATTCAACAGAACCTGTTGAACATGTTATGGGGGGGTCTAGTTACGTACTCCAACTTCAACCTACTCTTACACAAAGAAAATAGTAAATATTGCATTTGTTTTACAGTACGATTCTCCTAAAAGGCCGTAACTGCCTCTTTCACAGCACAAAAGACAGAGACTGTTGTTTGTTTGTGAAGGCTGACATAGTTTATAGCATCATCTGTACAGTGCAGTCAGAAGCAGACTCCCCTCTTGTTGGCACCTTTTAGCGTTGGCAAAACTCAAAACGACGCATCATTCATCTTGATCGGCTGGCAAACACAATCAAATAAATCAACACTTTCCCCAAATATAAAAATATTTGTGTTGTGGGCACATAATGAATGGGCACAGCTGGACTAATTAAAAGCCATCTGAGTTTCATTAATCTTGGTTGTGGAGTTGCATCGTTTCTCAAAGTGGACAGCCACGCCTTTCCCAGCAATGGCCCGTCGTCCTTGGACTCATTTTTCAGGTGATTTGGAAGAAGAACGCCGCCTTTTGCTTTATTAGCGCAGTGAGGAGACGTGAAAGCACAATTAATACTGCATTTCAACACAAAGAAAATCGTCATTGCTCAGACAGTGGTGTTGGCGCTCCGCAGCATTTCAGTTTTTGTAGAGTTTTTGTAGATGTATAGGCCTTCACCTGGGATCCAATGTCCATCTTTCAGTTATTCTTTAATTATATAGAAGGATATTTTGCACCTAAAACTATATCTGAAAGAGTGATGACCCAGTTTTAACAATACACGTCTTAAAAGTTGCAGTAGATTCTATAATGTGGCTTTTATTAAGACAACTGTGTTTTCCAACAACATAATTAGACTAGCATTAGGTATGTGTAATGTTGTTTAAAGCCCATTGTTGCATGGTTAATTATTCATTTCTTCATAAGCACGGTGGGGCGTTTTAAATCATCGACCGTAATCACGAGGGCAAAGACCATTAAGCCCTAATTTTGGCAATATTTTCTTAATAAAAGTTTTATGACTGGTAATCATTTAGAAATAACACTTTTTAATTATGTTTAATTTGAGGGGTGATATTGGGGTAATTTCTCATATGGAGAAAGGGCCATACAATAACTGCACCCGAGGGTAATGGTGTTTTACGCATTTAAGTAGAAGGAACAATAATGTGAAAGGGACTTTCTCTATAAGCTCTGATAGTCTTTAGCAACGTGGATTACACTGAAACGAAAACAAAAATATTACAGTGCAATCCACATAACCATATAAGGTTTGCAGAAACATGGTTTAGATAAATTGGTGAATTGACATCTCGACAGTGTGCAACATGTTCATAAATGTATATTTTATGACACCGATTATTAAGGCAATACAGTCAGAGTTTCTAACAGAAGAGGAATGAAAATGCACAGAAAACAATCCTACTTCTAAACAAATCGTAAAATAACTTGACATAATGAAGCCCCAAATTACCTTTTCTCTCCATACTGTATTTGCTTTCCCTCTCCACCACCCAGACCCCGACGTTTGAGCGACTTTATTAGCTGAAAAGGATTATTATTGTAATGTGAAAATGGAACTAATAGTGTGCCAGATGCTTTTTGCACAATTATCCCGAGAAAACAAGTCTCAAGTCAAGTCATGTGTTATTATTTGGTCATTTTCACGGACCACTCAAAATTGCCCAATTATGTTCTATTAGGGCAAGGCCAACCCTGTCAATCACACGGCAGCGTTTGGCCCCCAACCTTCAAAGACGCTCCACTTCGGTTTAATAGCTCTCAGAAGTTTTCAACATGACTAAAAGTGATAATGTTCCACCTAATAAAGTTTGTTTTAGCTTTAGATCTCACATAGGAGCTCTTAACACAGGGGCGCAGGGTTTTCAAAAGGTGTCCAATTATGATGCCAGGAAAATCTGATTTTATTATGGTTACAATGCTGCAATGTTTGATTGTAATTGAATATAATGTAACTATGGCGACTTCAACTGACTACAAAAGAAGAGGGAACAGACTGTATTATGTTACAATTAATGAAACATGTGTGCCACCAGTTACCAGAGCTGCAAAATCACTGCCAACACTGGCATGTTAGGCTGATTTACACCTGCAGTCTAACTAATTACATCAAAGGACATCAAATAATTAGGCCAATGGGCTGTCAATAGAATACAGAACGTCACAACATGTATGAAAACTAAGCACATGCGTTATACATACTTCTGATGATTGCCGATAATCACCTATTTATTAGCTTGATAGAAAAAGTCGAGATCATTATTAGACTTCAACATCAACAGTTGTAAAACCTACCATAATATTATGTGCCAACATTTGGATTAACACACATTTTAAAAACATACTTGTTTGCATAAAAAAGTGCTTGGACGATAAACCTCCATCACCTTATGTATGTACAAAGTTATTTATATAATTTAGTGGAATAGTGTTGAACATGTTCTGATATAAGCGTTTTTCTTTGATTGATCTTTTCCAATGTGTTATCCATAGTTTTGTTTAGTATTGATGATATATTATGGTTCAAATCGACAGAGCTCAAGATACAAAAACAAACCAATCTCAGAGTTCACTGAACTTCAATGTGGCGAATGAACCAAAACAAATCCACTTTTGGTGATTTTTCAAACTTTGAACGGTCTTGTCTGAGAGGGATTTCAGAAAAGCCTGGTTGTCATGTCACCGCCTGCTGTTCCCAGTTTGCCAAACACGGAGGTCAGCTCACATACCTGGCAACTCTCGTGTTTGAGCGTCACATCTGGTAATTTAGCAGCTTGGACAATCTCATTCTGTCACGATGAGTTAAGAAAACAAATCTGGAGGAAAATGACCTCGCCTGATGTTACTTGTGTTGAATTTATTTGCAATATTATTAATTTTCAATAGAATGCTTTAGACAATTAAAGAAACAAAACAAGCCTCAATCACATTGGATAACCATACACATTTTGACTTGTGTGGATCCTACAGAGAGACAAAGCAGTGATAATGATGTGTACGATTAGAGCTCCAACTAACGATCTACATAGAAACATCAATTTTGTCTTGTAAACAACCTGCTTTCCTAATCAAAAGAATGAACTCTACAGCACGACAAACAAAACTCTACATAAATACACATGCTCTCCCTCAATCTAAAAATAACACGGAAACGGCAGGATGTGATGAATAAAAGTGTTGGAGACATGGCCCAGAGCTAAGATCTATCTCCAGCATCTCTCCTCAACCTCCTCCCTTTGTTTTCCTCTCGGACCATCCCTCCTTCTCCGTCTAACTCCATCTTGAGAGCCAGCATATGTCTCCGATCACCCCCCTCCCCCCGGACTCTCGCCGTTACCACTTCCTACTTCATCTTTCCCAGTTCTGACTCCGGCCCGTGACTGGGGAGGATATCAATCACAGACAGCCAGCACTTGTCAGGGCTGAACCGGAGGAACACATTCTTTTATCTGTCTCGCTCGTCTTCCTTTAACAAATTTGTTCCAGTTAATAAGCCCTCCCCACTGACCCCCTCTTCCTAATTAAGCACAGGCTGCATGTAGGGAATATGATACTTAATTAATGATGAGATAAACTCTCTCCCAAGGCCCTGTCAGGAAAGCATGGCATGTTTGGCACTATGGGAATCAAATTAATACGCCAAAATGATGCTTGAATTTCACATTAAAACAGCTAAAAAAAGTGGTTCTCAAGTTACCTGTTTTTGTAATGACCCAGATAATTCTACAAATGGTGGCACAGGCATTTTTCTGCTCCTGTGTCACAATTTATATAGACCAGCCCTCGTCCTTTGGATAACCACATTTCAACTTTGGAGTTTACTCTGTGCTTAAATAATATTGCTGGATTTGGCTTGAGGTCAGTCACCTAAAACCAAAAGCCAACTCATCTTTAGCATCTTTAAAAGCACAGTGGTTTTGGCTGTAACACGAAGTCTGGTCTTCGTTTCACAGAGAAGAGTCCAATAACATCCTTAAAATAAATAAACTATATTTTTCTTTGAACAACACCCAAGAATTACATCCTCTCGCACGGAGCTGCTGGGTGAAAAACAGAACACCCAACAATATGTGGCAATATGAAATAATAATAATAAGCCCGTTCTATCCCCCTCTGAGCATATTCTAGTTTCTGCATGTTTTGTTTTGCCTTTAATTGATCCACAAATCTTCAAAACGTAGGTCAAATTGGTTATTCTACATTAATTAAATATATTTTTGTTATTAACACATGACTGAGTGGCGAGAGGTTAAATGCAGGGGATAATGAGCAACAACAAAGGCATCAATCAGAAGAAACCTCCTCTGGGCACAGTGAAGACATTGATGACTTCAAGTTTATTCTTTTTTATCTCTAACCTTTTTATGATGGCTGTGTTTACAACCAACTTCACTTTCTTTAATCATGTACAACGTCCTGTTATTTTATTACCTTTTTACAAGCTTTGTTAACAGCTGACACACTGAATCACTGTTAATAATGCATGGGCACGGGTTTCCACAACATATGGTGTAGTTTATTAATATTCTACATCAAATGTCTCAACCACTCTGACAGACGCCTTTCAGATCCGGGCCGTTTGGGGTTGAGTGCGGCTGGTATGTACGTGAACGGGCTAATACAGGAGTGGCCAACCCGCGGCTCGTGAGCCGCATGCGGCTCTTTGGCTGATTCCGTGCGGCTCTCGGGCTTCCACACGACAAGCGTCAAAAACGCCTCGGTGGTGGCGCTGCCATTCATTCTCTATGTAGTTCTGACCCATAGTAAAGGCCGACCCCACTCCACTAACCAGGCCACCAAAACAATCTGACGTCGGCGAACGTCAATTCTGATTGGTCAGATGCGCTGTCAATCACTCTGCAGCTGCTGCCTCAGCTGGTGCAAATATCATAACAAACAACATGTTGCCTCGACCCATGACGTCCGTACGGAGAACAATTCCTTGGTCGCTGGATGAGGGCAACACCTTCCTCAGTTTGAGGAGAGGACACCAGCGTGAGCTCGATGGTTCCACCAGAAACCAGAAGGTGTTTGTGGAGCTAGCGCTAAGGACGGAGCAGAATGATTCCCACGAACATGACAATGCAGAGAAAAGTTAAAAAGATTAAAAGTGACAACCGTGAAATGAAAGATTGCAGCAGCAGAAGTAGAGGCAGACCCGAAAAGTCTGGAGGTGGTTTGACCAAATGGATTACATTTACGGATATCGGCTAACACCGGCTAACACCAGCTAACACCAGCTAACACCGGCTAACACCAGCTAACACCAGCTAACACCGGCTAACATGCTAAAACCAGCTAACACCAGCTACACCAGGAGATAAGCCTCTGCCTGGTGAGTGTCTGTCTTCAATCAAATGCAAAAGTATCTGGTCTTATACTGAGCATGTGTCTGTGGTTCTAAATCAGCTAAAGTGGTGTTGGTGTTATGTGTCAAATTTATATCTTTTCCTAAACACAGTCAGAGAGAATCATGAATCATCAATAAAGACAGTTGTGTTTCTGCTGAACACTGGGTTGAAACTTGATTTTTTTTCTTGGTTAGAGATTGAAAGCATTCATTTCGGAATCATAATTGATGTTCGCTGACGTGAAATTGTTCTGGTATCGACTCGCCCGGTTAGAACCAGGGCTAGACCATTAATAAAAAGTACCGGGGAGCGGCTGAAGCGAGCGGTGGAAGCGCCTGCACCAGAGTCCAGTTCTTTAGTACTGCACCAGGGAGAGTCCAGTTCTTTAGTACTGCACCAGGGAGAGTCCAGTCCTTTAGTGCTGCACCAGGGAGAGTCCAGTCCTTTAGTGCTGTACCAGGGAGAGTCCAGTCCTTTAGTGCTGCACCAGGGAGAGTCCAGTCCTTTAGTACTGCACCAGGGAGAGTCCAGTCCTTTAGTGCTGCACCAGGGAGAGTCCAGTCCTTTAGTGCTGCACCAGGGAGAGTCCAGTCCTTTAGTGCTGCACCAGGGAGAGTCCAGTCCTTTAGTGCTGCACCAGGGAGAGTCCAGTCCTTTAGTGCTGCACCAGGGAGAGTCCAGTCCTTTAGTGCTGTACCAGGGAGAGTCCAGTCCTTTAGTGCTGCACCAGGGAGAGTCCAGTCCTTTAGTGCTGTACCAGGGAGAGTCCAGTCCTTTAGTGCTGTACCAGGGAGAGTCCAGTCCTTTAGTACTGCACCAGGGAGAGTCCAGTCCTTTAGTGCTGTACCAGGGAGAGTCCAGTCCTTTAGTGCTGTACCAGGGAGAGTCCAGTCCTTTAGTACTGCACCAGGGAGAGTCCAGTCCTTTAGTGCTGTACCAGGGAGAGTCCAGTCCTTTAGTGCTGTACCAGGGAGAGTCCAGTCCTTTAGTACTGCACCAGGGAGAGTCCAGTCCTTTAGTGCTGTACCAGGGAGAGTCCAGTCCTTTAGTACTGCACCAGGGAGAGTCCAGTCCTTTAGTGCTGCACCAGGGAGAGTCCAGTCCTTTAGTGCTGTACCAGGGAGAGTCCAGTCCTTTAGTACTGCACCAGGGAGAGTCCAGTCCTTTAGTGCTGTACGAGTCCATTTCTGTCATTATCATGTTTATGACATTTACAATACATCTGTCTGAGCAGAGCACACCTCTCTCTGCTCAGACAGATTGTGTGTGTGTGTGTGTGTCTGCTCGTGTGCGTACGTGCGTGTGTAAGGGTTGGGGTGATGTTTATGTAGTGCACATTTGTATGATGCGGCTCTTTGCTCTAACACGGTAAAAAAAATTGGCTCTTAGTCTCTCACTGGTTGGCCACCCCTGGGCTAATATATAAACACTATGATTGCTACCATAGGATGCACACAAGGGAGCAGCATGTAACTTCTATAGTGAAGAATATCTCTCCTGCTACTTTGAATTATCCACACTATGACATGACACTGAGGTGTCTCCTTAGACCAGTGGTAAACAAAATGGGACCTGAGACATCAATACTGGCGATTCCCACAGTATAATACCTCATTCTGTTATCAAAGAACTGGGTTTTCTGAGGAAACTACATTTGTCCACTAAAATACAATGGATCTTATGAATCAATCATGAATATCTGTGCAAAACAACTTTTACACCGAACCCTGATTTTGGCAAAAAGATATGGGACCCCCTTAGACCCTTTGACCTAGACCAGGCCAAGATTCAGAAACTTTGGCCCAGTCCCAATACCCACACTGCACCCTACACACCTCTACGAAGTGTGCATTTGTTTGAAGTGCACACCAGGGTTGGAGTGCGCAGGTTACAAGTGTGCAAAAAAGGAATTGGGACAGTGCACACTGAGTGCAGGTTACGTCATCGACTCGTCAAGAGATGGTCATTTTCAGACCTAAACTTTATAAACATTAAAGGTAATTTTGTCTGACCCTTTGGGAAACAAAATGAATTGCTTCACACACGTTAAAATACATGTATATTAGTTGTTTTTAATTAGAGATAGCTGTATAATTTTAAGTTAAATGTGGGTAACTAACTATCTGGTCAGTTTTTATACATTCTAAGATTGCGCTTGCTTTAAAAAGTTATTAAATTGTTAAAACACAATGTCCGTAATTCTTCATCAGATGTTTATGCTTCTTTCCAAGTAACAGCAAAACTTATTTACACACATACTGCATATATATTTCAACATTTATATTTAAATGCATTTTCCCGACGTTTTGGTATGCACCGCAAAGAATTATGGGCAATATCCTTCGCCAGAGTGCACATAGATGCAGGCTACGGCAGAAGTGTGGATCAGGGGCGCAAAGGGGGCGGGGCCAAAGACCTCCGTGGAGAATTGGGACACCCTACGCACTCGCACCCTTTATCGGGAAAGCGCAAATGAGGGGCGCGAGGGTGGAAGTGCGAGTATTGGGACGGGGCCTTTGTCTGGAACTTCTAAGCCTCCTCAGTGACTGTATTACGGACACCATCCATTATGTGTTAAGGCAAAAACTTATTTCTCTTCACAAATTGATAATCCTTGTCAACTGTAAAAAATAAAATTGTGTGTCGACTTATCACCGTCATTACAAACAAAATCTATAACATGAAATATAGATCACTGCCAATAATAGTGCAGGATGGAGAATAAACATGTGATGTGGGTTGCGCTTGAAAGCTGACCAATCAGAAAACCCGACTCCACATGAGATTTTTAAAAGGGAATCTTTCGGGAGGGAGGTTCGCCTGAAAACAAAAATGTACATACACCACCGTAACTGCATGTACCGAGATACATAGAACAAACACTTACAAAAACAAAAAAACTAACAAACCCAGAACAAAAAAATAGCTGGGTATTCATTTTGCACATTCACCAACTTCTCCTTTTAAAGAGATTCTTGTGTTTTGCCATGTCTTACCCTACTTATGCAAACGTAGACAGTGTATCCAACTAAAAGTACTTTGTCACTTCCATTTAGCTGAGTCTCAAAACCAGCTGCACAATTTTTCAATCATGTCACAGCGCAGACATTACAGATATCATGAAGACAGTTAAGTCATAAACTACTTTAACCAACCCGGGCGCTCGGATCACGTTGCAACTTGAGCTCTTCATCTCGGCAATTTGTCTTGACGATGACAAGTACATTTAGGCTCTTGTTTCCCCTCCTCATCTTCGAATTAAATTTACACTGACTACTTTGATATGTTTGGGAGTGAGTTTTTGCCTCCCTGCGGACCGGAGAGAAAAATAAATAATCTACAACGATCACATCCACAAACAGCTAACAACAAGTCTGACATATTTACCATAACAGGCTTTCTGAACTCCGGACTAAATGAAACACATCTATAAAATAAGTGTTTGTTGTCTGGCGTTCTTTGAAGTTGGATTTGTTTGTGCTCTTTAATGATTTCTTTCTTCTGATGATGATGGAAGCCGTGCTGACACCTCCTTTTGCTTCATCAAGTTCCGCTGCACAATTACATGAATTTACTTTCAATAAATTACCATCTTTGCATACATCAGTCAAATCATCCAGCTCAGGCATTCGCAAACAATATGCATTATTAATCTCATTGTCAGTGTTTATTTGGTTAACTTGTAACCGACTTGGACAGCCCATTGCCTTGATGATGCATTTAAAAAGCATCGGGTCGAGCTTTTTTAAAAGGAAATCAGGAGGATGACATGCTTGTACGCACCACTTTGCTCCCTGCTGAGTCCGCAGAGGGAGAAAGACTCCACTCTCTCTGAACGGCCAATCACAAAGAGCACAGAGGCCTCGCCGCTGCCATGGCGCAAAACAACGGAGTCAGAAAGCTCATCCACATCACAGCGTTTCTCAGAGCTCTGATTGAACTGCTCTCCACGCAACAAGCTCAACTAGTCAACGACGGAAACAAGGTTGTATCTCCTGGATTTACAAAGGATAAAACAAAAACTACAACCAAAACTTCACATGGTTCAGACTTGATTTCAGAGTCATATATGAATGAAAAGTATTGTGCTTCCTGAAAGAGAGTTGAAATCATGTGGTTTCGATGATCTCTATGATTGAAGGGACATATTAATTTAAAGCTGGGATACCTACATTTTCTGTTTTATAAATAATCGATGTTGTGGTAAATGTAAATGTTGCACCACAGTGGCAGATTGGGAAGCTCTGGTGAGGGTCTCGCTCTTTTCATCACTGATTGGAGTAAATAGAAATGTTTTAATAAAAAAGATTACTGCACATCTTTTGCATACTTGCTCTGAGTCAGTATTTGATGCTCCAGGTTGAGAGCTGGTTGGTGGTTCTCTGTTTTTCACTTTTTTGTCTGAAAAAACTGATCTAAAGATAATAATAATGCATCGGTTTTATATAACGCTTTTTTGGACACTCAAAGACGCTTTACATGTGTCATTATTCATTCACTCCATACACGGTGGTGATAAACTACTACTGTAGCCACAGCTGCCCTGGGACACACTGACAGAAGCGAGGCAACCAGTCTGTGCCATCGACCTCTCCGACCATCACCAACCATTCACACACACACCAAACTCATTCTAGGCAATGGGGGTGAAGTGTCTTGCCTTATGGACACAACGGCAGTTTGGCACTTTACAGCCGCAGCCGCCCCACTGTGGCTGCTGTTCCCAGAGGTTAAGTGTCTTGCCAAGGACACGACAGCAGACAGTGGGAGTCAATGGTGAAGGTCGGGCTCAAACCCACGACCCTCTGGCCAATGCTCTACCAACTGAGCTACTGTCGCCCAAAGATGTGACAGAAGCCAAAAATACATATATGAGAAATAAAATGGAACCGATTTTTCCATTTTTGTGGTTGCTAAATTGTACCCCAACTGATTATTGTGTAGATTGATACCTCTTTCTGTGGCACTCTTTCAAGCACCAGTCCCCATTATGTAAAAGACTAGACAATTAGGATGAAACCTTATATTTTCCTACATATCCATGTCAAAAGATATCACAAAAAACACTCATAGACCAAGTATCCCGTTTTTAGCAGAGAGACATTTGGACCTCTATTCAGGGGTCTTTGTTGATCATTATAAACCATCCTCTTACTTTATGTTTTGGTGCAATATTAAAATGATGAATTATCTTTATGTGGAGTGATTGTAGTAATAGACATATACAAAAAAACTCAATAATCCATAGCGATTATCTTACAAAGAAGAGTTACTACACTGGGCATCTCTGTTCACTGTTCCCACAGCCGTTTGGACCAATTATTGGTAATTAGATCTTTTCAGACTTGGCATTTTCTAAAGCAGCCAAAAAAGACAAACACAGAAAGTTAAAAAGTTATTGCAGACAAGTCCTTGAGGCGGGAAACACATCCACCACAGGCAGAGTGAGTGAAGCGGGAGCAGCTTTATAAGGAGCCGTGTTTCAGCCTCGCTCAGCCCCGCTCAGCCCCGGAGGCACCTGGAGGGAGCCACCTCTCATCCACTGTCACCATCATCCCACACGACAGCTCCACTCGCTGCTAAATCCACAACTCTTACAAAATATGGAGCGTGTGTAAGATTTCAGTTTTATTTTCTTAAGTGTGTATGCATGTCGTGTGCTGATTTATGTCGGAAGGAAAATGCCCATCACGATGAATAAATAATTGTAACTACTGTTTCACTCTGAAGTTCATGTATGGATCTAAGGACATCATGAATACATATTTACATGCTTTATTAAAAAGAAACCATTTGACTTTCTTAAATCATATACTTACATTGGTCATTTGTCTGATCTTAGTGCAAATGATGAGAAAAGACAGTCTTCTAAAACTAACGGCCAAATAATTTAACGTTTTTTTTAGGGACAATTTAGATCTTTATAGAACCGATGCAGAGATTCTTCTCTGCCTATGAGAATTTTAATTTCACTAACTACTGACATACAGTATACTGTAGCATGTGAATCGTGACAATGACATTGTGAACATGTGTACTGTATATGATCTCAAAGGCTGTTTTGGGCTAGCATGATCTGAACACACTTTTTTACAGTAGATAGATACACATTCTGCAGAATGAGGTATAACATGTATCTTGTAGAAGCAACAGTTGGACAAAAGCAGTTCGGTGGAGTGAAGGCAGTAACTTTACCAAGGAGGGGGAAAAAAGCCAGCACAAAACAGGGAAATCTCAGCCGATTACCACAAGACGTTTTCTTTTAATGAAAAAAAAGGAAAAAGTATGTGAGCCCACAGGCAAGACCTCACCTGAGTCAGAAATCAGTGAAGCAGGAATCCCATCACTGAGACAGAAAGGGACAGTGACTCTAGGTTGGTTTTCGGTTAGACCGTTTTACATTGTTTACAGTAGCCTTGTGTGATGGGAACCATGTCTTAGAAGACCTACCTGTACTATTGAGAATTGTGGACTAAAACAGGAGAGGGTAACAAAAGTGTATCTAAAAGTCTTGATGCTCATCAGTCAACGATTTAACAACTTGTCTATACATGTGGCTACACTCCCAAGGAGTGACCATTCTGAAAAATGACTGCACAGAGCAGAATGCTCAAAGAGGTAAAAAAAACAATCTCAATGTGAACTGAAGATCTACAGATGCTTTGATCTGAAAGCTGATTGGTTGGTGCAGGGGTAATCCCCTTTGATTTACGTGAGAGTGAAAAATCTTCTATAGGGTTGTGTGTTAAACATTCGTGTAGGCACTGAGGATGTGCCAAAGGCTTTGTAACAGATAAGACTCATTTAGATGCATTTAAATAATTACTTCCTCCTTTCACACTTTGAAACTCAAGTACCCGGCTTTAAGTGTCATTCTTCATGTCAGGCACCTTACCTCCATGATCTTGTTGGACAGCTCATTGCCCTGATGTTGTTTTGATGGTCAGCAGGTCGAGCTCTGCCTGAGTGAGTCTGACCTCACAGGTGTTGAAGAGGAGCAGAGACTATCAGGGAAACAGCTGCTTGATCCCCAAGGCGTCAATCAGTCTGTTCTGAATTAAGCAGACAAACCATTAGACATTTTTATCTATGCATTTATATGGATACTTAAATAAGTATAATACCAAAAAAGTATAATATTTCTAACCACTACTTCAGACCGTGTGACCTCAACAATCAAGGAGGTGTCAGCACGACTTCCATCATCAATGCAGTTTTGGCAGTCAACAGATTCCACAGATTGTTCTACATTGAATTGTTGTGACAAATGTATCTATGATCAATATGGAGGATTCTACTCAATTAATCAAACTATTTACATTAAGAATGACTTACTGATTATATCACGTTTTCAAAAAATCAAGATGTCATCATTTCTCATCGAGCTGCACCTCTGATAGAAAGATAGAAAACTACAAAGTTTGTGGAGCACCTTGTCCTGTTTCCCTGAAGACAAAATGATGCTGCAGCTCCATTATTCGCGCTCTGATGGAAAGACAAGTTTGCAGATCAGACTACAGTCCACAGACACTGTACAACATCTCCGTCATATTATTCCTCTGATAACTTCACTCACCTTGCCTCCTTAATCTCCCACGATGATCGTTTGCCTCTCCATCACTGGAGCCTCCGCTGACCAGACTTTCGACAGGTGATCTCGGCGGAGCCACACAGCAGGTGTTTTCTCGACAGCTCTTGACTGACTTGACTGAAGAAGATTGGAGTTCGCACTAAAAATAGGAGCAACAAATCATTTCTGTGAGACAAGCTGAAATTACTCAACAGCAGAAGGGGAAAAAAATCATGATCGCAGCTCAGGCCCGTCAACAAGCCAAGACGTCCTCGGAGACGGGCGCCGGCTTGACAACATGTCAATATCACTTTGAGCGCTTCTCCAAGAACACAACTCTTTGGGAAATCTCATTTACTTCAACAGCTTTTACGCGCGAACGAGACAGGCAACATTTGACAAATTCTCAAAAAAGAGAAAGAATGAGCAGTTGATCTCTGAGACCGCAAGTAGAGAATTTAAAAATAAAAAAAAATGTGAGAGACAACAGTGCTTTGTTGATCACTGTCAATGCGTTTACTGGACCAGACGCTCCTGTCTGCTGGAGATCTTACGTTTGCAGAAAAGAAGCGCGCGGCTCTCCTTGAGTTTAGCCCCAGTTCTCCTGCTTCTTAAATCCGTCACTCAAACGCCTCTCAGAAGCTGACAGCATGATTGAATACAAGCCCATATTAGCTGTGACAACTTCAGCCGCACTTAAGCAGACCTGAGCAAACACACCAGTGTCGGAGGAAGGCTCGGCTCTCACTCACAAACTCAACAAAGACTTGGGTTATTAATATTAGCATAACATTCCCTTAGATACGTTTCACACTTATTTTTGTTTAAGATACAGGAACAGTAGTTTTCATTTTGAGGAAGTGCAACATTAGTAAATATGCATATTGGAGCATGTCTTGAGATTTCCATATTTAGCTGGCCAGCCCGAGGTGCATCTTCCGTCTCCAGGGGTGACAGCCATTCTCCGGTGTGATTTGTCCCAGGGGCTGGAGCACATGCTGAATAAACATGAGGCTAATCCTGCTTCCGCTACACTTGTAACGGTCAAAGTTCATATTTACACGAACAGCAAATCCACTCACAATCAAAATGTGTTTTACAGCTGCAGCGTGTAAGCCTTGTTTACATGTGCCAATGTCAGACATATGGATTTTAATAACACCAACTGCCATTCTCCCGTATGTCCGGTAACTAAACATTTGTTGAATTCAGAAAAGCCAGAGGAATTGTCACAAAAAAAACAACATCACAATTTCAACTGGACACAACAAAGACATCCAATGGGAAAAAAGTAAAAAGCTGAGATAAGTGAATATGCTAATCTGGATAAGAAGGCGTAATGCAAAAAAGATTGAGGCTTGAACAGAAAGAATAAACCACTATTGACAAACGCTATTCAATCATTTTCCAATAATGACTTAGCCTTAATTTAACAACAAAATTAACATTCGGGAGATAGCTTCTCTTCAAGGCACATGATGGTTACGTACACAGAAACATTATTCCATTGGAACTTTCCCAACAGCTTTGTTCTAAGCCCCATATATGATATCTCCGTAGAAAAGCTTGCAGAATTCCTCTTCTCGCCAATTTGGGAATAAAAAGATAATTTGTCTTGAGGACGCTCTCACTTTGTGCTCCATCTCACTACTAAATCATTCAACAAGCCCAGTGTTCTCATTGGCCCGCTTGGATAAACTTCCAGCTAAATCAAATGAATCAGCACAAGGGGAGAGGAGCGAGAGCAGAGAGGCAAAGAAATCTCTACTTCGAATTCAATATACAAAAGGAGTAGGATTTAGGACAAAGGCAAACTTTAGGGTTATGTCTAAAATGTATTCAATTATTATACATGAGTAATGTGCAATCAAGAAATCTTTAAGAAAATATCTCTTAAAAAGGTGGAGGGCAGTGAATATAAGTCAATGTTGTTAAGCAAATTAGTGGGTATTTGTGTGCTTTTGTGTAGGTGTGTGTCTGTGTATTTGCGTGTCATTATGCTGATAAACCAAAGACAATTTTCATCTATTGGTGACAAACATGTTAACGACATTTAAATGGCAAAGTTATTGTATTTATTTCTCTTTTTTTCATAAACAAAGTATATTAGCGCAGCAAAGACACCAGTATTACTTCTGCTGTATGTCCGTAATGTGGAGTTTTTTCTTCATGTGTCGGTTGCAGCTGTTTTTGATGCCGCTGCACATCTGACGCGGCCGCTGCCTGCGATGGTTACGGAGGCTGAGGGGATGTGCTGCCCACTCGGGACGGGCCCAGTCACAGCCCATCAGGCACCGGGCGACCAGATGAAACAACCAGCACGGGTTCAAAAGACAGCCCTTGGGTCCGTTTACAGCAAATACAAATAAAATAGAAGTAGATAACGCATTATTTATTGAGTATGTTTACCGTTTACTTTTTCTTGGTGTAAATATTGATGAAATGAATGGGTGCAGTTGAAACGCTGCTAACTAAATGAGAGTCTAGATTTTGTTAATCTTTCGTCTGAGAATCTTTTAGTGGAAAGAAAAGAAGAAAAAAAACACACAAAGAAGGTGAGTATTTAGGTGATAATTAAAGCTCCTCAGAGAATAAGTTACATGAAAAACTAATCACACAGGTATAGCAACTATTTGATACTTTTAGTGATGATAAATGCACTCAATCAGATAATTCATATTATGCATTTGGCGGGAAAAACTTTTGATGGATAAAAAGGTATATTTTTCAATAATTAGCAAACATGTGGAGAATATTGATCATATACAACAACCATATTATCAATACATAGACATGCTATGACAGCGCTGTCTGGGTTACGTTCTTGTTCATGAGTGAGAGAAAGAGGAGGATGAGATTGACAGATGGATTGGCTCAGTCACAGGTGGGGAGCTCGGAGTAGAGACCCCGCTCCTCCATAACAAGTAAAGTCATCTGAGGTGGATCGAGCATTTGGACAACTGCCAGGGGAGATGTCTCGGGCAAGTCCCACGGGGAAGAGGCCCTAGGGAAGACACAAGACACACTGGGTCTCTCAGCTGATTCCCAGATGTGCTATAAGGTTCTAGGTGTCTTTGTTTACCACCTGCTGACCTCGAAACCCAGCAATGGATAAAGCGGTAGACAACGGATGAATGGTTATGTTTAATCCAATATTATTCATCATTGATAAGACCTATTTTGGGTGGCCACAATGTTGTTTGACGTTTTATATTTTTGTGGGCTTACCTCCAAAAAGATTTAAATGTACATTGTCACATTTTCAATTCTTTTAGTGCAGGGTCTAGGCTGTAACGTCCTTATTGGAGCGACACACATGATTGATTCCAGCTCATTCCTTCCCTCACTTCTCTGCTTTTTGATTACATTTCTGCTCTCACAAGTCCATCTAATTAACACTATTCCCTGAGATTAAACCTGGCTAATCTCTATCTCATCGTTGCTGCCATCTCCCCCAAACCATCTCCAACTTCATCAAATGCAGCCCATTTAAATTGCAGAACACTAGCAAAGGTTCCCCGAGAGGACGAGTCAATGTCCACCATTATAAGTGTGTTAATAAATATATAAAAGAGCAGGGATGCAAATGAGGGTTACGCCAAGTCTACTTTGAGATGACTTTGTGATGCAGCAGCGATTCATCACCAGGGCTGGAGATGCTCTCACCGCTGTCCTTAGCTTTACCTAATGAAGCTCCATATGCAAATCCAAATAACCTTTTTGCTTGATTTTTCCCTCGTCTGTGTTTATGGCTGAGAGAAAGAGAAAGTGGGCGTTTACAGTATGAGCAGCAATGTTAGAGCAAAGGCAGGCTAAATATATAGAATAATGTATGTATGCAGGCCAATGAATGTACACTATATCTCACACTGTGTAAAAGACAAACAATGCTACTTGGTTTTTAATTAAAATGTTTTTGTTTTTTTATCATTCAGTGTTAAGACTTTAAACAGCTCATTTTAATAATAATCCTATCATATTTTCAATCAAGCCCCAGTCTATTGTAAGGATTTTTACATTTGATAGATTATTAATAGTATATTGGTTAAGAATGGCATATGGTGACCACGGTTTTTGAAGAATGCTTTGTTCTCCCTTTACAAAAACTTTACTTGTTGAATTATAGAAAATAAAAAAAATGATTAAAAAAAACATAATAGTATACATTTCAATTTGTATACATTATTCTATTATCAGATATGTTGTCCATCTTTTGTTGGGCAAGAGCATGGATTGACTTTGGTTAATGGGTTGTTGGTGATTTATATCTCTTTAAGTAGCAGGTCACACATGACACACTGCAAGGGAGAATACAATCACTTACCCTACCCTTAAAGTCCACTTGAGGGTATAAAAAACATTACCCTCATTCTTGGAGAAGGCTCAAAATATTGCTTTTTAGAGGGACATTCCTTTGACAGAGCGCATATGTGCGAAACTCATTATTCACAGTAATATGGGAGAATGTAGACGAAAAGGTCAGGGGGAGACTGGGATCCAGTTGTGGCCCTGACAAAATAGCACCATAGTGTCACTACACATTTGCACTGGGAGAGCTCACACACAACTGCAGGCGAAGAACGCACAAGCGACGCACACACACATGCACACACACACACCATCACAGCAAAGAAATGCCACAAATGTAATTTTGTGCATGTGATAAAACTCATGTTCATTTTGATTCCAAATGTTAATCTTTATATTTATCTAGTAATATATGAAACAGAAAATGTAATGTCCCACCGTTCCTAAACAATTTAGTTTTTTCAGTGTGGGCACTGGGCAGTGTACATCATTTTTACATCAAGTTTGTTTTTGTTTATCAAATAACATTTTGTGTTACATATTATAATAATTTAAGTAGCTTTCACTGTGCTGTACTCACTCAACAGTAGTAGAAAATCCCAAACGAGATGATTGATGGTGTATCAGGACAAACTATGCTCTTTAACCAAGCTTTTTACTTGGGGAGGTTAGGCCAATTAGTTCTGTTTCCCAAAAAAATAGGCCTCATTGATTAAGTATTTGCGATGCTTTGTGCAAAAGTGATTAGCACCCCTTTTAAATTTGAAGCAAACTGATTCATCATATCCCATGGGACAAAACCAGAGACTTTGGACACACCATTTTAATGCACCCTCAGTCTCGCACCTGGATTAATAAATGAGGCCCTAAGAAGCATCAAATCTACTCCAGTTTGTCAATTTTCTTGACTGGTGTAGAAACTGAAATTAAAAGAGCCACAGGACTGACAGGAAAAAGAAAACTACACAAACACAAAGCTGACAAGAGAATTTGAGGAAAAACTGAAGAAAAAGCAAATCACTGGCTGATATGAGGATTGCATGTGTAGTGTAGTCTTGGCATTCCAGCCCAATAGATGTAGCAAATAAGTCAGAGAGTGTGTAATGAAGAGAGAGCTGAGCGGTCGGATAACATATTGCCAGACAGCCAGCATTAGCCAGGCTGCTGCAAATGCACATCAGGGGAAAACTCGGAGATGCAGAGAGGCAACACAGACGGACAGGGCGCGGGCCGATGGAGGCTCGGAGCTCGGATGAGAGGGAGCGGGTGCGCAGGAGAAGCTGATTGCCGCTGATCTTCACAATAAGCAGGGCCGACAGACGAGAGCGCGCCTCTGCTCCGACACTAATCGCCCGTGAAAGGTGACCCGTAGTGAGGCGCCTCCGCTCAGCTCCCATCGCCCTCTCCGCGTCCGGCCTGGCCTGATCGCACACGACACCGGCCACCAGTGCCACCAGCTCCCTCCAGACCGGAGCTCCCAGACCGGAAAGGAGACACGGGAAGGAAGAGGGGGAGAAATGTGTTCGACTTCATATTTACTTGCAGTGTGTGGTACTAGAGTCTGAAAATTCTATAGAAGTAAGTTTTGCAATAAGATAGAAAAATAATCAATGATTAAATTTTGTTCTTACATCTGTCCATGATATAATAACACACTATAATGTCATGGATTCCTTACCGATTGCCATGTATAACATTTGGTATGAGTAGTATGGGTCTACCTCATAGGATCAATATCTTATTGGTCAACTAAAGAAACATAATTGAAATCACAGGTACACATGTAACAAATACTTATATCCCGTCACAGTGGAATGAGAAAGTATAGAAAGTATTGGTAAATTTTGTAACTCTTAAATGTAGATTAGAATAGCCGTGGTTGCGAGTAGGTTTTCAATACTAAACAGGTGGTTTTTAATTGTAAAATATTTCAAATAACACATTCAAATTGTATTAATATACACAATTACATACAACAAAAAATATACTACAAGCCCCATTTTTCAATCACAAACAAGTGACATTATAAATAGACATTTGATAATAATGCAAAGACTAAGAAGACAGAAGCACGAGCTGAGACGTGCCGAGTGAGAGAGAGAGTATGAGGGGCTGACGGAACACACACAAACACACACATACTGTTAATGCCCTACAAATATGCAATAATGCAATACACATGATAAAATATAAATCATCTAAACCAATTTTAAATTAGTGGTGGTTGTTTTCACATATCAGCTATCCTCAATTCACAGATATAAGTGTGGAAAGTGTGCAACGTAAAATACATTTTAACTGCTCTGCTGTGGAGGAAAATAAGAAATAACAAGAAAAAAGGGATGACAAAGCCGTGGACGTCAAAATAAGATTCCTCGCAAACTGTTGTAAAGGGAGCCTAATGGTTCCTGATGATCAGATGAAGGGGCTGCGCTCAGAGACCCAAGAGGAGGAGAGGAAAATGGCTGGAGTTTGGCCGCAGATGACAGCTCTCCAATAAAGCGACAGTGCTCCTTTCTGCTTTTTCTGTCCCGGAGAAGAAATATGAATCTACAAAAATCTACTAAAAGTATATTAATGGTGTATTTTTGACGCTGGGCTGTAACTAAAACAGGAAAACCGCAGTATTTCAATGACTCTTCCCATTATTTATAAACTAGTTGAAAACTTCAGAAGGATTTTTTTCCATTGATTTCCGGTGGGTGTGTTTGGTGAAAAAGGCTAAAGAAGAAAGACGTGCCTGGATCTTTTTACACTGTGGAGCCAGACAGCTGGAGCCCGGAGAGGGGGATGCAGAGAGGGGCACATCCACACCATTTTCCCAGCACTGATAGAGCCATATTGGAACGCAGCGGCCATTAATAACAAGTGAGTGGCCGTATGCACAGTGGATGACCCCAGACTGGTCAATACGAGAGGAGTGAGAAAGGAGTCTTGAGTTTGTCTGTGTGTAATGGTACAAGGTTAAATCACATTGCAGAGAGGAGCCGAATGTAGAGAAGTCATATTAATGTGATCTACGGAGCATTGTGTGGCTGGACTGATCTGCTTAAGGAGGCTTGTATGTGCAGTGTATATTATCAGGTCTGGGGCTTGAGTTTAGCGCCACCCTTTGGTCATGATGCGTACTGTATACAGCCATACAGGAAAGCGCTTCTATTTATATACGTCTTTGGAGTTGCAGAATGTGTGGTGAGACGAAGAGATACACATTGCTGTACAATTCATTATGGTTTTTCCAATGACCTTTGACTATTGGACATTTCTAAAACCAGCTGTATAAGTCCTTTTTTTTTTAACAATATGCCACATAGAGATTAGAGACACATGGATTTACCCATTATTGACTCTTTCCAATTTGTATAATAGTAATTCTAAATGGTAAAAATCCATGGCATTCATTTCTCAATTGTTAATTTTGTTTTGCTCTTTCTCTGTATACTAAAACTTTTTCGTAAATATTTTTCCTGTTTATCGAGACAGCATTTGAAGAAGTTTCTATTCAAACGCCTTTGCAAATGTCATGCATGTGTCGGCCCAAAGTGTTGAGTGTTTACTTGCTTGGCTTATGTCTTTGATGGACAATTTTTGACCTGTTTGGGTCGGGGAAATTATTCAGTGAAGGGACAACAACAGCATCTTTCTTTGACTTCAAGAGATAATCAAGGTTCTCTCGGCTGGTGGCGCCCTCACATCCCCAAAGCCATGCAAGGGACTTTCTAATTAGGATGATGCTTGGGCATTTTTTATTTTCACTTTTTGCAGACTTTATAAACTTCCTTAACTTCCTGGAGTCCTGTTAACTTTGTACCGCTCTCAAAGTCAAGAAGCTTCTCGCTAGTTTTTCCCCTAGAGACCATCGCTGAGATTTCCTTTTGCACATTTACTGAGAGTGCCGAATGCTAACACGGTTTAAGTCGCTAACACCTCACCATTAACATGTGGCCAGTGCTAGTGCCCTCTCATGAGCGCTGCAAGGGTTTCTTCTTCCTCTGCCTCTGAAATGCTCTTTTAGCAGCTCACTGACAGCCCGACGCACGGCTTTCTAGTTAATTAAAGGGAAAAACATGGCCTTAACTGGTGCATGGTCGCGCCCAAGCCTGCATAATGGGACGTAATTAACTTCCCCTCGTCGTTACTGCACTTCAAAGGGTGGGTTTGGAGCCACACGCACACTCACTGTATATATGGTGTGTGGCGCGCGGAGAGATAGGCCCAAAGAAAAACAGCCCTATAGCTCCTCTGGGAATTACGCACAAGAGAGACAGAGAGATACTGGGAAAATGTTTAAGACTGGGAGATATAAGAGCACAAATAATCCGTCAGAGTTCAGTCATGTAGAAAGATGGAACATAACTATGCTAAATGTGTAGCTTGCATCCATATTGGGCTGAAGTTACCCCTACTTCTTATCGGAATGTGGTTAAAACTTAACATTTTATACTATGTAATAATAGCTAATAGGGAATTAAAAAATTTCATAAAATGGTAATGATGAATTAGATGTAGGGTCTCATCGCCATTACCATACACTACTAACACATTTAATAACATTGTGCATAGCTGAAAAAACAATTGCATCACCTTAGTCCCATTCAATTCAATTTATTTTGTATAATCCTTTTTCACAACTGGACAGAAACAAAAATGTCAATTCGCCAAACAGAGTCAAACAATTAGATCACAGGAACTAATAAGCACACAAAGAACCATTGGTCCCTAAGGCAGTGGGTTGACCAATATCCGTAAATCTATATCTTTACCTTAACACTCATTGAATTTTGAAATATTACATTTGAGGAATGTTTCCTAAAATCAGTACATACAAAATGGACATTCCTGATATATACACGATAGTACTACTATAGCTTCGTCTTTTTGTCTCAATATAATGTGTGTGTCTGAGCGTGGTGTGAAAAGTGTGTCAGCGGCTGGTGGAAGGCCAAAGGTTACAGTGGAATAGGCCTGAGCGCCGTGTGGTGACAGAGCAGGACCAGCACTCATTGGTCAACAGCATGAGACAGGGCATCTCTCTGTAATCCCCCCACAATCTACTTTTGTAGACCCTCCCCATGTCGCTTTGGCAACGATCTGGGCTCCGCCTGCATTTACATCTGTGCTAATTAGAGTGGAAAAAGTGATTGGCTGCTCACGACATCGCAGTAAAGAGGCTCACGGAGGGGATATACAGGGGGCTTATGTAAACAGGCGTACGCAGTCTGGACGCACAAAGCCCTGGTGGACGGTAATGCGTGAGGGCGCGGTGTCAGGGCGCACACCTCCACTGTGTCACTGCAATTCAGCCTCTGCCACGTAGGCGCAAGGAACCACAGCAGAGAATGTGGAGGAAAAAAAACCCACATATTTTAGGGCTGTCAGTCTTTAGTCAATAATCGGCAACCTCTGAATCGAAATTTTTGAGTCCGATTCTTTTAAATTAAAGCTTCAGTACCTCCTTTAACAAAACAAAACAATATTATAAAACCAGTGCCTCGCCCTCTAAAATATCACACGTTTTCAAATGCATGGATTTTTTGGCCTCTGTCACATCTACGAGCCCTCACAGAGCTTGACAGCTCACAATAAGTAAAAGATAAAATGTTTGCTAGCAAGATGAAGAGAGCTCATGTTGTCCTTCGGGTGCTACGGTTTCCCTCTACCACTAAAAACACGTACAATAGGCCTGGAATGCGCCTCCTGTATGGGGACCCACTCACAGGTGCTATATAAATAAACATACTTACTTGCTACTCGTCTGATTAGTTCACAAAATGTTACTTAAACATTTTCTACGGGAAAACTGCTTATTTGCTCGGTGCCCTTTCTTTGGCTGACAATGCAGGTATCTACTTTTATATTCAAGCTATAGATCAAAATCTCAATTCGCAAGGTTAACTTTTTCTTCATTTATAGCATTTTTAGCACGAGTTTTCAGAACTTTTTCCACATCCCCTTTTTAGTCGAACAAGAATGCATTTATCAACATTAAGCCAATACAACAAAGAAAACACAGGTCAAAGCTTGCATGGCTTGAAAAGTACAACTAAAAGGCCCTTTTAGCAATAGCAACTAAACCCTATTTCAATATACACTTGTGGTCAATAAAAAACAACAACAACTATTTTTCATGATTTGACATTTGGGTGGTGCCGTCTCACCCCCAGTGAGTGTCTCCACATAATGGTCCTAAATCAGCCTTATAATAACATCTCCTCTCATGTTATTCCACTGTGGGTCTATGTGCTGAGCCAAACGTTCCACTTTGAAGTCCCACCTCTGAGGACACATGCTCTTTAACACCACACTAAATCATCACGCTTTAACCTATCACATTCCCATGTCAAATACAAGATGGTACTTCCTCGTACGTTGCCATAATCTAAAACACTGTTTATAC